TCTTTTCTGGTTGACATGCCTGAAGAAGCACTTCTTTTTATTCTTTGTGATTCTTGCCCTCTTTTCTGGTTGACATGCCTGAAGAAGCACTTCTTTTTATTCTTTGTGATTCTTGCCCAGTTCAGCTCCAGCTGCGCCTTGGCCTTCCTGACACCATCCCTACACAACCAGGCAGTGTCCCTATACCCTTCCCAGGATACCTGTCCCTGCTTCCACTGCCTGTGCATTTCCTTCTTGCCCTTTAGTTTGACCAGCAGATCTTGACTCATCCATGCCACCTCTTGCCTTCCTTTCCTGATTTCTTCCACTTGGAGATCAAGAGCTCTTGCGCTCTGCGGAAAGCATCCTTAAACATCTGCCAGCTCTGTTCTGCTCCCTTGTCCCTGAGGGCAGTTTTCCAGGGGGTCCTATTGACTAACTGCCTGAACAACTAGAAGTTTGCTTTTCTAAAATTCAGGGTCCTGACTTTATTCTTCGCTTGACCCACATCCCTCAGGAGTGCAAACTCCAGCAGTGCATGATCTCTGCAGCCCAAGCTGCCTCCAATCTTGACATCACTGATTAGCTCAGATGCATTGGTAACCAATAGGTCCAGTTTTGCATCCCCTCTGGTAGGGTGTCTGTTACCTGGCTTAAGAAGTTATCCTCCATGCACTCCGGGAGTCTCCTGGATTGCCTGCAGCTTGCCGTGCTACTTTTCCAGCAGATGTCGGGTGTGGAAGTCCACCAGCAGGATGAGTGCCTGCAAGTGCAATGTCTCCTATAGCTGGAGTAAGAACACTTCGTCAACAGGCTCCCCTTGATTGGGTGGCCTGTAGTAGACACCAGCCACAAGGTTCCCTTTGTTGTCTCAATCTCTCATTCTTACCCATAAGCTTTCAGCCTGCTCATGGGTATTCTTCAGAGAGAGCTCTTCACAATCTATCCACTTCTTGATGTAGAGGGCAACCCCTCTGCCTCTCTTTCCTCGCCTGTCCCTTCTGAGCAGCCTGTAGCCATCGGCAGCCACACTCCAGTCATGGAATTTGTCCCACCAAGTTTCAGTAATGGCAACTAGATTGTAGCTTTCTAGCAGAACAGTGGCTTAAATCTGATAAATCTGTCTTTAGTAAAATCTTAGTAGGCTTTCTGCTACTGTCCTGACTGACATTTTTACAGACTTTAGGGAAATACAGTCTAAAGGAATGCACTATAACCTCACATCCAACTTACTAAAAAGTAGCGAGTGTAAGCCTTTAATGCTCCCTTTAGTGAAAGAGATCGGATTTCTAACCTGGGAGGAAAGTTTCTGTGCTTTATTATACTGTTTTAAATAAAACCTGTGCTTCTGATGTGACTGGAGATGTTTTATACTCATTTGCATGGATTACTGCACAACTAACAACCAAACTGTGAAATACAGGACTTACTGTTGAGCTAAGTAGCTAAGAAATCATTTACTTTTAATAAAAATATGTATGTAGAGATGTTAAATGAAAACCAGGGAGCTGCTGCCTAGACTAATAGCAGAAACTATTCCGCAGAGAAGTGAGCATTTATTATGAAACATGTTTTGGTTAAACTTTCAAACAATCTGTTGTTCTCGGGTAGTGCGTGTTCTAATTGCCTGTGACCTAAAATGAAATGACAGAGGTAATAATGCATGTTTTGCTCCCTCTGCAGGTGTATTTATCACTCACGGAGATGTAGGAGTAGGGACCATTGTCGGATCAGCAGTTTTCAACATCCTTTGCATTGTTGGTGTCTGTGGAATATTTGCAGGACAGGTTAGTGAGATACTTTACAAATAGCAAATGTTTCCAGAAAGTTCAGTTGTAGTTTCAGCACTCTGAATGTGCAGCATACAGAGGAAACTTGTTCCTTTTCATACAATACTGTGTTCACAGTCAACTGATCAGTGGCATCTGCTAATCCTTCCTGGTACTGATGGTGATCAAAGAATCTAGGACACAAGCATGAGATTTGCTCCATCTACTCAGTAGATGATTAGACTGTATATCATATTTTTCCAGGTATTAAGTCCGATATATCCACAAGTATAATGAAGTGGGAACCATTGATTTGCTGCAATACAATGAATTGTACTTGCAATTGAAATTATGACCAATTAAAATATCATTAGTATGAAATGTATTTCATTAATGGAAGTTTCTATATGATTTTTATTACTGGTGGTTATTATACGTCCATTGTCTAAGAGACTGATATGTCTTCCTGTTAGCATAAAACTGCGATTGGTTACAGAATTGTTGCTAATAATAGTTCTGCTCATACACCTAAGTGATTGCAAGATAGAGGCCTTTGGTTTGTCTTTAAAATTGCATATTTTTGTTGGCTGAAGGTGTGATATTTTTCAGGTGGTTTGTCTCACCCAGTGGGCTGTGTTCCGGGACTCTGTGTACTACACAATATCTGTGATCATACTTATTGTTGTAAGTAGTTATCTTACTAATTAATGTGTTTCACTGCTTTAATTTTTAGAGGACCAGCCTGCTAACCATTGATATATACTGGTAAACAATTACTTTCCTAGCTAGTTCTAGTGACATCTGGAAGTGAGGGCTCAGGTCCGCAGTATGGTCCAGATATGAAAACTTCGTACAGCCCCATAGAATATGCGTCCATCATATCCATTCATTCATTCTGTACTCACAGTCTGTAAAGTTCTGCAGGCTAGCAGGCTACTGTTACACAGTGCAGTTAGCCTGTCTTCTGACCTAGGGAGCTGCTTGTTGTGGAGATAAAAAAGTTTAAGCTGCACTTCTATTTTAAGTCAGGAAGGTGACTGTTTCTTGCTTCTACACGGTAATTTTATTTCCCAGATTCTGGGTAAATTTTTCTAAATAGAGCACAGGTGAGATAACACTTTGTTCATCTACAGCAGTGTAGTAGTTCCTGAATGTACGCATTTACTGTGCCTGGTGGCAAGGAGGGAAAGAATCCGCTTTGTTTTGTAGTAAATATGGATCACTATCTGGCCATTTGGTTACAGGAATTATTTCTGCTAAAACTAGTGTAGCTGTTAAAAGGACTCAGAGCTAGGTCTCTTTAGAATACATGACTTTGTTGTCATTTACACAGACACAGCATATCTGTCTTTCACATGCTCACACTGTTTTAGTAAATACTATTTCTAACAATCACTGAGAGGGATCCAAGCGTTGTTGACAAGGTTTGTGCTTTATGAGGGGCACAATCCATACAGTGAAAGTTCTGGTTAGAAAATATCAAACTCGAGTGGCTTCTGGCTAGATATGACTGATATTTATTAAATAATTTGACTGTTTTTCAAGATAGATCAGAGAAATGGTCAATTTACATGTTTCCTTTTTTTTTTCCTACTTCTAGTTCATATATGATGAGAAAATAGAATGGTAAGTTATGTAAATTATTCCCTATGGTCCCATTTTTGCCATGAGACTGATCAGTAAACAGAGTTGCAGTGTAATTAGCTTTCATTCATACATACTGGGAGTATGAGCAGGATTTGACATCTAGGATATCCTATGTGTTTTCTTTGGCTTTTATGATGATCAGGGAAAACTAAAAAAATTTGAGAACCTGGAAACATTAACAAAATAAATATTCTGTATGTAATGCCTGAAGACTCACATGTGCAGAGAGAGTAACCAAAGTTCTGGTGCTCTGATTCTGGCTGTTAACATTTATGTGGATGCTAGGTGTCCCAAAGAACAGTCCAAGGTGGGATCCTAGTGGAAGATCATAAGCATCTTCTAAAATAGTCCTCTCAGAGTGCCTGGCCTGTACTTCAGAACTGAAATGACAAAAGGCCTTGGCATTATGATCTTCAGAGGGTAGCTATGGTTTCAGTCTGCATAACACATTTTGAAATAATATGCATTACATTTTATTTGCGTGTTTATTGGAACTTGAGAGTCTGCTTCCCCCCCATTCTGCTGAGACATCATCTAATCTTAATGATGTGAATCCTGTGTACACAAATGTGACTTGTACTAGATGTTTAGTGCACACTCCTACATAAAACTTGTAAAGCATACAGCTGTTTGAATGGCCTTTTAACACTTTTTTTTTTTTGTCTCTGAGGTGGGAAAGCCTTGTACTCATCATTATGTATTCATTCTACATACTTATCATGAAGTAAGTGCTTTTCTGCTCCGTATGCCCTTTAGATGTTAATTGACCATCGTTCTTTTGTTGTGGTTTTGTCCTTGGCCTTCCTGCCGAGGGCAATACAGCCAGTCATGTTTCTGTGTAAGGTCCCTTGCGTTTTCGTGCTTAATCAGTTTCACTCTAGATTTGTGCTCAGTCAACACCAAATATTTTCATGCATCCTTTTCATAGTGCACTGAGGTAAAGTGGCTTTCAGAAACAGTTGTGAGAAGATGTCATTTATACAAAGATAGATGAAAGGATCCACCGGGTACTCTGGATTGTAAGCACACAGCGTATCAGCTATTACACATATTTTGTAACCTCTGGAGAACAAGGTCAAGGAACATTAGATGGACTGCTAAGCACGTATTTATCTTCAGACCGTCTCATACTAGATTGTATACTGACATCCTTCTTCTATAGTGTCACTGCCTCTGACAGGAGAGTCAGAGGTCTGACTGTTACTGCAAAGGTCTGTGAGTCCACCCTTCAACTGCGAGTTGCTTAGACTTATCCCTTGGTGCCCTCCCCTCACAAACCATCCCTTTTGGAACTTCAGCCTCCCTTTTCTCCTACATCAGGTCTTATCAGAGTTCATTGACAGCCCTCTTAGATCCCACCCTGGTGCTAAAATAGATGCATTCTTTCTTTAGAAGGGTATGGTCAACAGTCCCAGAAATGCTTAAGCACCTGCCATGGGGAACACAGTACTGAGAGAAAGAGTGAGGTGAATCGCAAGCTGATGCAGCAGGAAAGAAGCTGTTGTATAGTGAATGTCCTGGCTCCAAAATCTGCAGCTCCAGTGTTTTACCTTCACTAAATCTGCTCTAGTGTCTTTTTGCAGTTTGCTGTATCTCATAAGAGATAGGTGCACCCCTTCCTTTCCTATCAGCTTGCCACTAAACTGGATAGTCCTTTCTCTTAACTTCCTATTAGTTGTCAGAGAACATGCATCTAAGCTTTACTGCTTGCCAGCATAAGTTATTCTCAGACGCTTAAAAGTTTGATAAAGAAATGCAACAATCCAACCTTTTCAGACCTTTCCTTTGCACTTTTAGGTACAATGTGAAGATGCAAAATTTCTTCACCCTTAAAAGCAAGAATGTTGGAAATGGTGACACAGTCAACAATGAGCTGGAAGATGGTAATAAATGTTATGCCTCTAGTTGTGATGACCCATCTATTCCATTACTATGGAAAGGTAAGGCTGAGCAGACAGGACTTGGAAAAAGAGGAGTTCACAGGATATCCTTTTAATTCCTTCAATGGGGATCAAAATAGTGTTACTATTCAATAATAAACAGGAATTTTTATTGGGTTAACTTGACAATTCAGCAGACTGCCAGATGAAAAAAACCCAACCAGAAAATTTTTTTTTATGTTCTGAAAACAAGCTGCTTTGCACATTGGCAATTTTGTTCCCTTTTTATCTCCTGTTCAGTGATGACCTACAACACTGCAAAAGAAATTTTTTTTTTCCAGGAAGAAGGTAATTTTCACTTCAAAAACTAGTTTGGAGCTAGAATCTAGACATAGAAGTTGAAGGAAAGGCCATGGGCAGATCAGTGCACAAGAGGGATTATATGTTGAGTTCAGATCCTCAGAAGACTGGCTTTCACGCACCTAAATAGCTCTGCATACATTGCAAAGCACATATGTAAAATTGAGAAATGTGGGTTCTTTGCTGTCTGTGTCTTTGTCATAAACAGTAAAAAGATGATACCTGGCTTCTAGTACTGAAGGTAAGCAAACATACCTGTGTTTTTGACTTTTTTTTAAGCCTGTTTTTATCATTGTCTTATTCCTCTTCCATTCCCTCTTTTCTCTGTAGAGCAAAATCATTCCTACTTTCAAAGCACAAACCATATAATTTAGTGAGCTCTTGGGCTACTCTTAGTAAGTGAGGTATCCTTGCTTTGTTCTTTGCAAACATCTCCCATTCTAGGAGACTGAGCTCAGCAGCAATGTAGGTAGCATTTGGAAAGATCCTCATGTAATAACAAATAGTGGCAAACAGGAATTTAGAGCAGACACAGAGAATCCCACTCTTCTCTGCTTTTAGTGTTTAGGCTGGGATCTTTTCAAGGTAGGTCCTGTCACTTACTACAGGTTTGTGCAATGACAGCACACTGATACTCTGGTCTCAGATATGGTGTTTAGACAATAGTTTAATAGAAATTTAAAATGACTTCTCAGAGAACATTGTAGCATAATTACATGAAGATGTCTTTGAAATACTTTGATCTCATTTCAAAATGAATTTTTGTGAACATTGACTATGATATAGTGAAGTCTGTCTCTTGGAGGTAGAGGTGTGTACGTACAAGGTTCAGAGGATACCTCCTAGGGCAGTTGTTACTTAGTTTTCAGATGGAGACATAGAAAAAGAGTGGTCCAGTGAAAGAACACAGATATTAGTGGGTTTTACTTCTGAGGCATTTGTTGGGTTTTGATGTCATCTCCTTGCATGCTCTTCTCTCTAACCACTGTGTTGTAAAGGGATGATAGCACAGAGTGCATGCCTGTCCATCTATTTCCTCTTCAGGAAATGTGAAGAGCATTTAATGTTTGCAAAGAACATGCAGGACTTTAGGAAGAGGAGCAAGAAAGCTAATAAAAACCTGGACTCATGAGAATGGTGTCTCCACTAACAACTGTCCACAGCAGATTTCTTCTCCAATTTCTGTGCACTGAAATTGCAGTTTCAGTCAAATTCCCTTTGCCTTCTCCAGCACCCATTACACAAATACATGCTGCGTTGGAGGGACCATTGTTCCAAGTGTGAGAGTGTAGATGTTAATACAGGCAAACCAGCTGGGATGAGAGAGGATGCAAAGAAGAGATTAAGGAGGTGATAGGGTTTGGGGTGAGCAGTGGGAGAGGATGGCAGTGTTAGCCTAGCTGCTTTGTAGATGGGTGCTTTATGCGTTAAAAAACTGTCCTAAAAACCCATCATGTCGCTGCCTGGTGCATCTCCCTCCTGTTGAGTCAAAATATGCCATGACCTGTCAGTGACTTGCTGTTAGTTGATGCTTGACTGGCTTCACAAGCTGAGCTGCACCTTCCCCAGCAGCACCTTTCAGAAACAGGAGCACTGCTAGTAGCAGGGAGAGAACTAGAGCTGGCCTATGCCTTACCTCCAGCCAGTGGTTAGCAAGTTTCAGGATCCACTGAAAAACCTCCCTTGGCTTCACAAAGATGTAGGTCTAACCTTCATCTGATTTTCCACGGGAGGAAAGTCTGAGTACTTCCCAAAAAAGAACAATTGTGTTGGGTGATGAACTTTCTTCCTACCAAGGACGGTTAGTCTGTTGCTCAAGGTGCAGATAGAAGGGGGGTTCACATGCTGCACAGCTTTCTTTTGTGCTTTTAAGTTTTATTACTTTCAAGAGCTTCCAATGGTACAATATAAAAGCTTCCATTACTCAAGTTCCAGAAAGAAAAAGGAAAGCTTTTCACGATAAGATAAACTCGATTTCAAGGACGAGTTCTACACACACAGGTAAAGATGAAATATTTGTACTTTGAATAATACTCCTATTTTAAAAGTACAAACATGTGGCTCACTGCCCTGGGCTTTTATTATATTGACCCAAATTTCCACCAGGTGGCATGGTTTGATTCCTGCCTAGAACTGGAAACTTGAAAAATGAGTTCCTGAGGGCCTGATCAGGAGTCAACTAAAATCAGCGAGAAGCTTTCTGTTGATTTTGACAGAGTTGTTGGTGATGACTCTTAGTAGTGAGCAGGAAGTTTAGATAGTTTGTTAAAAGGAAGAGCTGTTCTCAGAACATAGTTTTCTAAGAAATATCACAAAGGAGAAGCAAAAAAGGCTTTTCTCTGTCTCACATTTGTGAAAACCACTTTTGCGACTTTTAGGTGGAGCCTGTTTCTACCATACAGGGCCAAAGTGTGTATGTTTATGGGCCTAGGGGGTGAGACTGAAGAGCTGTTACAAAATACAAGAGCAATGTGCTGCAGTAAGTCAAAGCAGCTGCAGTTAGCTATATGTATATTTATAATCATGTATTCTACATCAGTGCTGAATTTTTTGTCATGGTATTTCATCAAAGCTGAGTATGTTTGATCACTGTCTCCTTAGTGCTCTGAGAAACAGTTCCAGAGTAACTTCAGTATTTCCATGTTTTTCATGACACTGTAAGATAAAGAAGCATTTTGGAGAGTTCACTGGCAAAACTCACTTGAGAGCAGTTAATCTGATCAGACTGTTAAAAAGATATCTGGCCTTTTTACCTTACCAGGATTGCTGTCAAACTCTTCTTTTTCTTTGCCTAACTAAAGGAAATGTTAAGGTACTGTGGTTGAGTCCTCTTCTTGTGAAGACTGGCTCCTAGGAAGCTTGTCGGCCTATGTATTCCTTCACAGAAAAGCTGCTGCACTCTTAACTGTTAGAGTAATTGGAATGGATGTGCTGCTCCTTATTTGCATCATCAGCTGCAGTACTCAGCAAGGTTAATTTGTTTTAGATTTGAGGACGGAGGGTGGATAATTGCTCCTTTGTGTTTACCAAATGCAAAATTACTATTAGCTCTATTCTCCATTAGAGATATTAAGCTGCAAGACAAGACTACAGAGTGGATTCTTTGAGTAGGGCATGTTTCTTTGTGCAACCAAAGATCTCTTTATAACACTTCAGGTGACCCCAGTGTACTCGTTGAAATCTTATTTTAGTGAAACAAAGCAAGACACTCAAATGCTAAAGAGTAAAGATATAGCTGTTTACTGATGTTTTAGAGGCTTGCCAGTTTTTCTTGCTGAATGATAATGGAAGGATATATTTCTTCAACTTCAAATATTTCAGAAGATGCTTGAGACAGCAAAGCCTTTATTGCATGGTGTGATTTACATGCATGCATGGCTCCAGTCTTCTTCCTGAAAAACAAAAATATTTCAACACTAACAATGCAAAAAAAATCAATATAATTTCTGTGTGTTTAGAACAGGTCTTTTTTAATTCCTTTGTTTGAGTTGAATATTTTCTTAGATTTCCTTTGCTTCCTGACCAGAACCATGCACTAATAATTGTCTTTCACTTCCACTTCCTAAATTCTCTTCCTCTTCTTAATGTAAGTAACATAATGCAAAAGGGGAGTGGGAGGGTGAAGCCAAGCTAAGCAAAGCAGAAAACAAGCAGCAAAGAATTTTGTTGGGTTTTTTCCCCATACATATTATTACATGTAATTATTAATATTTATTACAGTCATATGCATATTTCCTGCCCTGCTTTCTAACACCACATGGGTATGTCTCCTGTCTGCTGAGCCTTGCTCTGCTTGCTATGTGTAGTCTATAGCATTTGTGAGAATATTGGTTTGTTGTTGAGCTCTGAAAGTCCTTGCCTGTACTTGTGTTGATTCCCAATATAATTTTAACTCTCTGTTTGTATTCTTAACATGGTAGAACAAAACGTTTAACCTTGGTACAAGTTCCTTCATATTAACAAAGCTTGACTTACACATTTGTTCTTGACAATTGTTTTTCATCTTTTCAAATCTTGTCATGTTAGAGAGATTGATAATATTCTGTGAAGTTAAAGTGAAGATTTCCAAAAGGAGTGAGCACAGCATTAGAGACTTCTGGATGTACAGCACCTTGATCCAATGGGATAGCTTTACAGGTTCCAGGAGTGCTGTCTACACTGCCACAGTGCAGGTGCTTTTAGAGAAGGCTTACAAAACCATAGTGGGACATATCAGATCTCCTGACATATCAGACGTATCCTGACATACCAGACATCTCTGATCTCCTTCTATGACAAAGTGACCTGCTTAGTAAATAAGGGAAAGGCTGTGGATGTAGCCTACCTAGACTTTAATAAGACCTTTAACACGGTCTCCCACAGCATCCTTCTAAATAAATTGGCTGCTCGTGGCTTAGATAAGTGGACTCTTCGATGGGTAGAAAACTGGCTGAATGGCCGGGCCCAGGAAGTTGTGGTCAATGGAGCCAAATCCAGTTGGTGGCCAGTTACTAGCAGTGTTCCCCAGGGCTCAGTTTTGGGGCCAATGCTGTTCAACATCTTTATAGATGATCTGGATGTGGGAATTGAGGGCACTCTCAGTAAATTTGCAGAGGACACCAAGTTGGGTAGGAGTATTGGTCTCCTGGAGGGTAGGAAGGCTCTGCAGAGGGACCTGGACAGGCTGGATTGATAGGCCAAGACCAACGGCATGAGTTTCTACAAGAAGTAGTACTGGGTCCTACACTTTGACCACAAAACCCCCATGCAGCGTTACAGGCTGGGGGAGGAGTGGTTAGACAGCGGTCAAGCGGAAAAAGACCTGGAGGTGTTGGTTGACAGCCGGCTGAACACAAGCCAGCAGTGTGCTCAGGTGGCCAAGAAGGCCAACAGTGTCCTGGCTTGTATCAGAAATGGTGTGGCCAGCAGGATGAGGGAAGTGATCATCCCTTTGTACTTGGCACTGGTGAGGCTGCACCTGAAGTGCTGTGTCCAGTTCTGGGCCCTGCACTTCAAGACAGACATTGAGGTGCTGGAGCGAGTCCAGAGAAGGGCAACGAAGGTGGTGAAGGGCCTGGAGAACAAGTCTGATGGGGAGCGGCTGAGGGAGCTGGGGTTGTTTAGCCTGGAGAAAAGGGAGACCTTATCACTCTCTACAACTACCTGAAAGGAGGTTGTAGTGTGGTGGTGGTCGGTCTCTTCTCGCAGGCAACTAGTGACAGGACAAGAAGGCGTAGTCTGAAACTGTGCCAGGGGAAGTTCAGGCTAGAAATGAGGAGGCATTTCTTCACAGAAAGGATTGTTAGGCATTGGAATGGGCTCCCCAGGGAGGTGATGGAGTCACCATCCCTGGAGGTGTTTAAGAAAAGACTGGACGTGGCACTTAGTGCCATGGTCTAGTTGACATGGTGGTGTTAGGGCAAAGGTTTGACTCGATGATCCCAGACGTCTCTTCCAACCTCACTGATTCTGTGGTAAGCAAAGAAAACTGGTACTACAGTATGAATGGCTGGGTAAAAACTGCTCCCACTCATCTGAGAGTGTGCTGGTGGTATGGTGGCTACCTTAGCAGAGTGAAATCCCTTTTCAGCATGTGATCTAAACAAAGTGCACAACTGATGAGCAGATTCACCAGGCTGCAGAAATATTACAGGAAAGTCACTTGTAAATTCAAGCATTCAGATTGATATTACCCCCACCTAAGCCTGAAAAGAATGACTCTGGGTGATGGGAAGCATAGTAAGATCATTTCCACAAATAACTCTGTCCATTGTGATCATTAGTGAAGGGGATGCAGCAGTATGGCAAAAGCAGTGTTGTGATGGTGGATGAGATCATCTGCTCCAGTCCCCCCAAATACCGGTTCCCTGAAGCTGGATTACGGATTATGATTACAAATAAGTTTGGACCACGCACCAGAATGCGGATGGCAAGCCGACTCATCATTAATGAGGTAGGTTCATTAAGAAAAACAATAAATGACTGTGAGGCAGAGGAATTGCCAAAAAGCCATGCTCCATAGTGATTCTGGAATTCAGATTCTCCCCTATTCCTGGAGATGGGCTACAGCTATGTCTTTCTCTGGCAGTTATATCACGGCAGATTTGAAGATGGATTCCCAATTGGTGATGCTGCCTGTTTTAATGGGAGGGCAGTCGCCAAGGAGGGACTCCCTTATCTCCCTGCCAGAAGATGTTTGTTTCTGTCTGTGTGTGTGTGTGTGTGTGTGTGTGTACATATTTGGATTTTACCTGCAGCAGAAGAATTGGTTTTGATCATTACAAAAATGATGAGTCTGAGAAAGGATAATGGATATGACAGCCAAAAATCTGTGAGAACTGCTCTTACATTCGCAGCACTTCAGGATCACATCAGATATTTGCCTCCCTCTTTGGTCTTCAGTGTAGTCCTCAGCTCAAAATAAAAACAGACCAAAATATTTCATGAGGGGAATTTGCCCTGAACAGTTTCAGTTAACTCTTGCATGATGTATTGTGACCACCGTATTTTGCTTGTTTCATACCCTGCAGCTGAAGTGACAGGACTGGCCAAGTGACGCTGTTCTGAGCTTGTATGAAGTAATTGGGGTGAAATCTTCGGCCTGCCAGCCTTGGCTTCTATGAAGGCAGGATTTTATTCTTTGCTCCCTACAATGTCGAATATGAGAGGTTTTTGCTCAGGCAAATAAATTCATTTTAGTAGTTTAGGAAATACAAGCTTTAGCAAGTTCCTAGAATTTGAACATAACACAGTTCATGCGTCTGCCCGGCATTGTGAATACCCCAATGAAAGAAAGCAGCACTAATATATTTGTAATGAAAGTCCAGTTTAACAGTAAAACAGCAAAATGTTTATTGGGAAGTCAGCTTGGTGGCATACAGTCAAGAGCAGAAGATCAGATAGGACATATATCAGCAGTTGACTCTGTGAAAGTTCTGCTTTGAAGGCAATTCATTGATCAGAAAAAATTTCTTAATGAATATGTGCACAGAGAGCTGATACTTTCTGGTTCAACATCTGCAAAAAACTTTCTCTAAACCAGAGCATTTTGGATCTATGTTCTTATATATTCTCACTGCCAAAGTTTTGCAAAGTGTTCAGATATGAGTTTTCTCTATTTTTAATTATGGTGTGTTAATACTAGTTTCAGAACTTTTTTGCATGTTGTGCAGTTACTTTATTTTTCAAGGCATTTTGGAGCACCACTTAGAAAGTTGCAACAATTTGTCGTGAAAAAGAGAATGCTTATGGACGCTGCATTATCTCATCTAACAAACTAAAAATATTTCTTTTTTTTGTAAAAGTAGGAAATTACTGTTACATCTGACATTCTCCAGTGTATTAATGGGTATATATACTGAGGTTTAAACCCTATCCCTGTAATTTTTATACTATATATTGGAACTGTAGCAGTCTTATACATGTCTGCAGGGGCAAGTATGAGCTTCATGAAAGTATATACTTGGACAAGGGCAACAGGGGTTAGTCTTGCTTTTGAAATCATGAGTAAGACCTTTGCACTTACCTCAAGGAATGGGGATGAGAAGGAAGAAGAAGAGTTGGACCTGAGTTGGAGAGGTCCTGGGTAATGAGTCATTCGTAAGCCAACTCTAATCATCTGGAAATGTCTTGAGTGTTAACTCTGGATTATGGTGCTATTCTTGGTTTGAATGGGAACTGTTGAGTGAGACGTGCTTCAGAATAACCACACTCATTAAAACTTGGTGCGGAATAACAGATATGACAACTTTCTCCATCATGGCTTGAAAGACTGCTGCCAGTAATTTTGAGGTGGATGGTCAACATTTGCCTGATGAAGACAGGTAGGCCACAGACTGATTTGTTTGTTGCTGCCTGGAAGGAAGGCTTTGTGGAGAAACATCATGGTTCACGTGACTGGGGCTGGACAGGCAGCAAAAGTCAGATTTAACAAATTCAATATTTTCCAACTATGTCTTTGACACTGTGCAGCGTCAGCGGTTAATCCAATCTGCCAATGGCTCAAGCAAACCACTTCAGAATGGGAGACATGAGAATATTGAAAATGGGAACATCCCTGTCGTGAACCAAGAGGATGAAAATGAACAGGACAATCTATCTCCCTTTTCATTACCAGGTAAGTCTTACTTTCCAGGTGTTTGTAGTAAAGGAAACTGAAGATAATTAAAATGCCACACACTGGGTTGTAAGAAAAGACGACATATGCGGGGAGAGAGGAGGAAGGGAATTGATTTGACTGACTGAAGGCTGGATTTGATGACAGTAAAACTGGGCTGGAAGCTACATGGCTAAAAGCAGATCTTAGGAAAGTGTTTTCCAGCCATCATGCACAGTAACAGTACAAGTGCTGTCTTGCCAGAGGCGAAGCGAAAGCAGGTAAGGCAGGTTTGTATTAAAAAACATACCAGACCAAACCGATGAGCATTGCACTGCTAGTAATTTTGAAGTCAACAGTTAATAATAGCCTGTTGGAGATTGCTAGGCCAGAGGCAGCTAGGTGTATAAATAGATAACTTGATTTAGTGACTGTAGGGGAGGCTTCTTGGATGAAGAGGGAGAAAGGTTTAGGGGGAGAAAGAGTGTTTAGTATCTTTGACAGTGTTTAAAATTCTTAAAACAGCAGTCTGTAATAATATTCACCTTTTAAAATTTTTTGGAAACTCTTTGGTGTGAAGGGCTATATATAACCAACCTTATTATGTTGGTGCCCTTAGCATATTCCAGGTTGACTGTCCCCCAGATGCTTTGGAGATTAGATGGGAGAGATGAGATCACCCCTCACAGACACGTAGTCAGTAGTCGTCTGTCACGCAGTGACTGTTTAACAGAAATATTACTTGGCATAAATGAATATCACATGCAGTGAAAAAGAAGGAAGAGTTTTCCATGTTGTATATGATTCAAATTTCTTAGAGATCCCATTGCTTCAGTTGCTATCATTTTAGAATAGATGTTTGTGACTGAACAAGCATTGAAGCATACTATGTGAAGACTGGATGAAACTCTATGTTTTCATGTGTTACTGTGCTCTTACAGGAACTTCTTGCAGTCAGCAGTTACGGACTTTCATCAGGGGTGAAGAATGGAAACAAATTGATTCACTGAAGATAGGCCCATTAGATGGGCTCCTGATAATCAAAAGATAATGAAAAAACTGGTTTTATTATGTGGTAAAATAAGTGGATCCAAGTCAGTAATATGCTTGTGCACGTGAACATGTTGTTAATAACAACAATAATAACAGTAACAGTAATAAACAACTTCTAAAACCCAAAAATGTGTCCCCAAGCCATCTTAAAAATGCAGGAGTCAATGCACATGTTGGCAAAGAAGATTCTTTAACTGAGTTGTATTTAACAAGTTTTTGGATTCAAGTTTTAATTGGGGCAGTACTATCATGCATTTCCTCTTACATTTTAGGACAATACAGAAATTTTAACATGTGGCAAACATTACCCAGAGACTGTATTTGGGTTTGTTCAAGACTCAGGCAACTTCTCTATGAATAAAAAATAGATTTCAGAGTAGGGCTTCCTAAGCCTGTGACATTCACAATAGACAAACTGCTTTGAACTAAGGAGAGAGTTATTAGTTATGCCGTTGGCCTTTTTCAAATGCAGTTTTTCAGCATTTTTGAGAAAGTCTTTAAAGATAATTGACGTGTAACAGGCCAAAGTGGAACCACTGATGATACAGTTCATACTGGAATGGAGCAAAAGTTCATGTTAAACTAAAAGGGTTGTATAAAAGCAGTAAAGTGATTTTTTTAAAATCCTCATCATTATCTTCAGGTTCATTAGTCCTGTTGTCTGGAGATTATTATCTATCGGTTGGATTCTCATTGTTCCACTCATAAGTTCTGAGGGAGAATTTTTTTATTTTTGCTTTCAGAAATACCACTTTAATGACTTTGGAGAAAATGTAAAGAACCAGCATCATACTTTGTTGTTGTTTAAGTACTGTGGCACAATCAGTAGCCTAAAAAACCCCTGACATTTAAAACTGGCTTTAGGGAAAAGGTAGTTTGCAGACAGTTTCCCAGAATCCCCCCTGTTTTTCTTTTGATACATTTTCAGGCCACGAATAACGCACGTACATTTTCTAAAGATCAGAAGTTCATGTATTCTTTCAGTACTATAAAGAGCTCTATGAAGAATAGACTTTCACTTTCCAAGTCAATTGCTTACAGTGTGCTAAGTAGAAAATTCACTCGAGTATTTTAAGAGCTGCAACAGAAATGGCTATGAATTGGCCCAAACCCTTTTTTTGCTGTTCTGTAGTCACCTTTTTTAGCCTAGTTTGGTGTTTGACTTTCTTCCTTCAAATTGCATATTCTAGATCCTTTTGCAAGAATTCATAGTAATCATTTGCCATCTGTAATTTTTGCTTATTGTTCTCTTTTATCATCTATCAATGGCATTGCTCAGCAATAAATGTAGAGCTTTAGCACACAGAAATAGAGAATAAAATTGTTATATGAAAATAGTCTCAAACTTACAGCATCCAACCTGGATCCCATATGTCAAACATCCAGAGAGATTCACCCTCAGGGTGTGGTTCAGGCCCATCTTGAAACTGGACACAACACATAGTTTTTATGGAAACTACATAAGGTATCACACAAACCAGACTTTGCCTTTGGTTTCTATGTGGGAAGAAACATTCTCTTTAAAAGAGGAATTAATTTCTTGACGTAATCTTTAGGCCATGATGATTATCTTCCAAGAGAAAGGCTCATTTGGTACTTTACAATTTGATTACTCTACAGTTGTTTGGAAACAGGTCTTAAACTTTAAAAAAAAAACCCCACAGATCAGACTAAAGCAGGATGAAACTGAGCAGGCATGTGTTGACAACAAAATGGTGTGTAAAAGCCCTTGCATAGCCCAGTAGTCTTTTAGAGCCCAGACTCGGAAAAGCACTTCTGTGCAGCTCTTAATGGATGCTTAAATCCTATTCACTGTCACATGTTCAGGATCCTTTAAAATGCTCAGTGTTCTCAGCTCCTGCTGGTTTCAGAGAAGACCTCCTCCTGTTACAGGATTGGACCATGGATGCTTTATATAAGTTGTGGTGGTGTTAGCTAAAATAGGAATAATAATTCCCAGAGCTAAAATGAGATGGCAATAAAGGAGATTAGCAATCCTGCCCTTTTTTGTATGGATCCAAAATACGAAGACAACATGTTGGATAGAAGCAAAAAGGAATTAGCAGTATCTACTGAAAACGTAAAAAAAATTTGTACTTGGTCAAACCAAATGTTTGTCTTGCCCGATATCCTGACTCCAGCCATGACTTTATGAAGAAGCCTGGAGAAGAATGAGACAGGACAAGTTGGCCTTCAGCTATTTTCAGCTCAAGGAACTTCCTGGACTAAATGTAATGTCTGAGTATTTAAAAGTCCTTAATGTATTTCTTCTTCATTAACCTATCTAATTCTCGTTGAATCTTTGCAAACATTTAACACCCACAGCATCCTTTGGGAAGGAGTGTGAAGAACCATCTCTTTTTACTTGCTTTGAACCTCATTCCTACTAGCTTCATTTGATGTCATCTTTTATTGGAAAACACAATGAACAAAGCAAACCCCATGTACCTCACTTGGACACTCAGGATGCTGTAGCTCTTTGTTGTGTCCCCTATGGAGTTGTATGTCCTCTTGGTTGAGCTAGAGACAGAAAAGAGTTCCATGTAGAAATCTCTATAGTTTCTGTGTCTGCAAACACTGATGCAGAGTTCTTTTAGCTTCTCTGCAATGCCCCTGTCTTCTCTCAGTGCTCCTTTATACTTTGATCACTAGTGGACTCAGCAGATTTCCCACTCCTAATGTGTTTGAAGTAAGATTTACTGTGCATTTTGATTCCTCTTTGTAGTTGTTCCTCAGGCTCTCATTTTGGCCTGCTTTATGGTGCTTTTGCCAAAGTTTGGAAACATGACTTAGGTGGCTGAGTTAGGAAGAGAGCTAGTTTCCGTAACTTCTTTGGTGTTGCAAGATAGATGTTCTTCCAAGAAGGTAGTTTAGAGCAAGACCTAACTGTAGTATTCTGAAATGCTTTTTTGGAAGAGCTTCCAGCTTCCTCTTGCCACTGCCTATGTAATGGCGCATCTATCTTAGCGAATTTTATTTCAAAACACAAGTGTGCTTCTGAGGCACATGTCACTGTTGTCCTCGTGTACTGTACTTTGATTTGCATCATGTTATTGGAACTCATGAACCAGACTCCTTTTGCAGAAAACTGAACTGGAAAATGCTCCAGAAGAGCAATGAGTGTGCTCTACCTTGGAGGAGGATACACAAGATAAATTGGAAGAGAAGTGGGCAAAGATTTAATTTAGTAACTCATAACTTCATTCTGAAAGGGAAAAGAGAGACCTGAGGAAGCCTATAAATCCCAGTTCTCCCTTAAAAAACATTGATAAAGTAGACAGCAAGGTTAAAACACACAAAATAAACCATGCCAAAATCCCACCAACTCAAACAAAATATGGGGAGTACTTCTGATCAGTTACATTTTATTTTTGTTGAATATTGTCCTGCATAAAACTAGAGTAACTTTGAGAGTAAAGCTTGTTTCTGCATACTGAAGCAAATTCTTTTTTCCAGGCCAGTTCCCACTGTACCAAAAATGTGTCTGTAAGAAAAAATTATTGGCATAAATCCAAATATGGAAAGTGTGGTAAAGGCACAGGCTGAAAATAGAAATCTGAGTTGTTTTGGACAGATCTTATGGTCTGGAATTTGGAACTTGTATTCTGGAAAATGGAACTTCCGAGAAGAGTGTCAGTAGTTTGGAAAATAGTCTGTTTTGGATGAAGATGAGAAGTAAAACCTTGGTATTTTCCACAGGAAAAAAAGAATTGTTTCCAAAGCTCTGTTGCAGGAGAATTGCAATAAAAGTGTTTTAATATGTCAGCTGCCCACTTGGAAGGCTGACAAAAGTTGAGCCTTCTTGGATACCCTTTTACACACTATGTAGCCTGTCTCTAGTGTGGTAACACAGAGAGTCTCTTGCCTCCACAATTCCCAGGGAAAGTTGCAGAGCAGAAATCAATAAGGATTTTCCAAGAAGGTGGAGAGGGAGCTGCTGCGTTAATTCTCCTAACAGCATATTGAAA